CTTTCCGGCCGCCGCCTCCCTTGCGGTCTAAAACCCCAGCGGCCGCCCCCGCCCCTCCAGCGGCCCCGCCCCCGCCAGCAGCCCCGCCCCGTGCCCGCCCGCGCCTGAGGCGCCCTCCGAGTTCCTCCCGAGTCCCGCGGCTCCGAGTGTAGGCTTTCCGCCTCCCGCTGCCGGCTGAGCCTCCTCGCCTCCCCTTCGGCCCCTCCCTCGGTCGCCGTGGACCGGGAGCGCCTGGCAGGCGGCCTGAGGGCGGGCCGCCCTCTTAGCCCCTAGCCCACCCCCTCTTAAAGCAGCGGCGGGAAGATGAGGTTTCGGGAGCCGCTCCTGGGCGGCAGCGCCGCGATGCCTGGCGCGACCCTGCAGCGGGCCTGCCGCCTGCTCGTGGCAGTCTGCGCGGTGCACCTCGGAGTCACGCTCGTCTACTACCTCTCCGGCCGCGACCTGAACCGCCTGCCCCAGCTGGTGGGAGTCTCCTCGCCACTGCAGGGCGGCATGAACGGCGCTGCCGCCGCCAACGGGAAGCCCTCCGGAAAGCTCCGGCCTCCAGGCGTCCGGCCGCCTCAGCCTCGCCCGGGACTCGACTCCAGCCCTGGTGCGGTTTCTGGCCCCCCTCCCGCGAGCAACTTGACTTCGGTCTCAGTGTCCCGCACCACCGCCCTGGCGCTGGCCGCTTGCCCGGAGGAGTCCCCGCTGCTTGGTAAGACTGGGATCCGAGGACAGGGACTCCCCCTGACTTCCCCATCAGGGGTCCCCGGGGCATTCCCCACGATCCCTTTCCGGATTGACGGCCTCCCTTCTTCGTATCTGAGCACGAATTCCCGAGACAGGATGGGGCGGGTGGAGGGAGGTTGGCCGGTATCCTTGAGAATGGTCTCAGTGGCTGTGGCTGCCTGCAGCACAGAAGGCCCTGGAAACACCCCTGCTGGGGCCTAAAGCTCAGGAAGTTTTAGAGTTTGGGTCTGCGTAGGGCCAACTCCAAGGCTGCGGGGAACAGGCTTGCCTTTTCTGCCTTTAATAACACTGGTAGGAACTTTTGGACGGCGCAGACTTCCTCCTTGCGTTTAGGGAATTGACAGTGAGCAAATCTCCCACTGCCTCCGCCCCCACGCAGCCCGCCTTTGGGCAAGGGACTTCTCTTTAAGGTTTCCTTTTGGTAAGTGGAGATAACAAACGGTGTCTATTTAGGGAGTTGTTTTGAAAGAGTAAATGAAACGTGACTAAGGATTTAATGAATAAGAATAAACTTTCGGTAAGTTAGAATTGTGATGTTGCCTCTTGTCTGTAGATCCCTGACACGAGGCCTTCCATCTTTCAATCCTGAAAGTTCCCTCAAACCACAGTGAGCAGGCCCTACCCCAGGGGCAAACGGCTTGTGTGCCAAGGGGGCTGGAGGGCTAACATGTAACCAGGTTGGGGTAGGGGGCACTTCCCTAGCACTACCTGCCCAGCCGACTTGAGCCCTGAACTTTGACAGTGTTTCCGGTTTAGACTGGGAGGCTGACAGGTGGGCTAGCATTTCTGAATGCTATCAGTGGGGCCAGGGTGGAGTGCTCCTTGACCTATAGACCACCAGCTTGCAGGTTCGTGGCAGCCACAGGTTGCTTCCAGGGTTACCAGACAGGTGGCTGCTCATTTCTCATGCCAGGTTTTAGAGAATGTTCTGAGAGGAGGGGCCCCCAGCAAGCAGGCCCATAGCCTGCCAATAGTTCTGTCACGTTCCAGGAGAGCCCTGCCAGAGCAGGCCTTCCTATGGTCGCTTGCTCAATTTCTCCAGTAATTACTTCAGTATTTTCATATCAAGTTTGGGAGGAACCTCTTGGAATTGGTCAAACATGAGCAGAAAATTGAATTCCTTTGGACTTGGTGGTTAATCTAGGAAGTGGAACATGAAGTTGAATCTTTGTTCTACTGCTAAATGTCTGACTTCAGGCATATTATAGAGTTCCTTCCTCATGTGTAAATGGGTTTGTCCACGCTCACCTCACAAGATTATTTTTAGGACTAATTGAGATTATTGCATAGTAGGTGCTCAGTACTTGATTTGAAATATCTTCTTAGACTCTCACTGATATGGCTCTGAACAACATAGAGAAAAGAAGAGAGAGCGAGAGAGAGACAGAGAGAGAGAGACCAGAGAGAGAGAGAAAAGAAAAAGACCACAGTGTCTAGGCTTTATGCTTTTGTTTTTGGTTGTTGCCTGGGCATTGTGCAGAAAGAAAGACTAATTAATTAGTAAATTAAGTACTCCAGGGCTGAGGACATAGCTCACTTGGTAGAGTGCTTGCCTCAGATGCTTGAAGTTTGATCCCTAGCCCCATGTAAAACTGGGTATGGTGCTGGTGCACACCTGTAACCCCAGCAGCACTCAGGATGTGAAGACAGCAGGATCAGAAGCCTGGAACACAACAGACTCTGTCTCAAAACAAGTACTCAAGTGTATAGTTAATTGTTGTCTGGAGTATAGGGTCTTCTTGCTAAAATGTGAGAGACATAGTGGTGACTGTAGTTTCACTTTGTTTGGTTTGGTAATTGTTGCTGGTGATCAGCTTGTCACCAGTTACTGGTGGTGTTAAAATTGATTTTGAAATTGGCAGTTCAGAAGAACTTCCTGAGAGAGAACATTTTGGAGGGTCGGGGGAGAGGCCTGTGCCTTTTTCTAGCCCATCGGCCTTCATGAGACTTGCAGAAGATTGATGTTTAGGCTGCTGTTGAGGCCACAACCCCAGAAATGAGGGTAGAAGTCTTGTCTTTTTTTTTAATCGAACCCTTAGGTTTGAATGGTTGGATGCAGCTTTTTGGAGGGCAGTTTCTGGCCAAGAGGAATCTTAAGAAAGCTGCAAGTCTGCTTGGGAGTGTGTGGGTGGGGGGAGTTGAGCCCATCTGTTTCCCTGGGCAGGTTTCAGCTTTGGCGAGTGGTTTTGAGGTTCGTGGGAGAAAGCATCTGTGGGGGTTAGAGCGGTGGCCTTTTCACTACTTGCAGTTCCTTTCCCCAACTTGGCTCTAATTCTGGTATCCAGAGGTCTAAGTCAGATGCTTGGATCCCTGTCAGCTGATAGCTGGTGGCATTTAGGTGGTAAGGTACTAGATCTGGCTGCTGGTGGGTCACTGTTTGATCTGTCTCTAAGCTGTCAGAGCAGCTGAATAGACTTTAGATAGATCAGAGCCAGAATCCTGCCTGTGCGATATGTGTGACTGGAGGCAGGCTGTAGTGTTCGAAGCCCTAGTGGGGGAACCTCCTCCCTCTTGTGCACTACTGTGAGCGCCCCCCCCCTCACCCCAGTGTGGGTTGCATGGGTTAGTTTGGCTTTCCTGAGGAGCCATACAACTTGTCCACAGAGTTCTAGGTAGTTCAGGCTTCTTAGCCCTGTTGCAGGCCCTCAGGTGACTGGGCACCGTTTGTTTACTCTACAGACCCTGGCAATGAGGCTCTCTCTTCTGACTTGGATGTGTGCCCAAGATGGGAGGAGCAGCAGCCTTGCGGTTCTTTCCCAGAATGTTTATCTTTTCCCAGAATGTTTTATCTGCTCGGATTTGGCACAGCTCATCATGATTTGACTGGCTGTGGCACAGACATTACAGGGTGTGTTGGCAGGGGTGGTGGGTATTATATCAGGCTGGACTGGTGAGAAGAGGCAGGACTGGCTGTGGGGCTCAGCTGGGACCTGGTTCAGGTAGTACATCTCCTTCGAGGGGACAGGGAGTGAGTTCTGGGCTGCTTAAACCTCAAGAGTCCCTCTTGCCTACCTGTGCTTTCAGGAGATCCTCTTCATTTGTTCAAAAAAGAGGATTATTTTTCTTTTCTTTTACATGTATGTATTCGTGTATATGTGTATACATGTGTACAACAGTGTATGTGTAAAGGTCAAGGACAATCTGTGGGAGTCAGTTCTCTTCTTCTACCATACAGGTTTCAGAAGTGGAACTCAGGTTGTCAGGCTTGGTGGCAAGAACCTTTGCCAGCCAAGCCATCTTGTGGGCCCAGGATTCTTACCTAGAAGCAAACGGGTAACCAAGGCCTAAGAGAGCACTTCTTCCTGTGCCAGTTTCCCTAGCTTTTGTGGGCACTGTTAGCTGATCCTCTGCCATGTATTGTGTGCATTGGAATGAAGTATTTGCTAGGTCTTTGCTGAGCACTTGGCTCTCCGGCATTTCTCTCTAGCCTGCTGCTGCTTTTCCCCATGTGTGCACATGTGGACACAAGCACGCTGCCCAGTACAACCTGTACTTTGAGGCCTGGGAGTGAGCTGTCTAGGATCTCCCCATTCTAGGATGACTCTTGGAGCCTCATCCTCTTCTGATTTACGATGTAGTATCATCCTCAGTGCACAGATATACCCACATGGGTACAGATCTTGTAGCTTTGGGTTTAGGTAAGTAACTCTTTAAGCCAGTTTGTCTTGTTGCTTTTCGCTGGGGGCAATAATTTAGTGATGTACACACAGATTCCACACTCTGACCGTCATATTAGGCGTACCCTGACTTATCTGGAGCAGAGCTAAACTGGGAAAAGCATTTCAAGGCTTCAGCTCTTCCCATCTCAGGCAGGTACCCAGGCAGTCAGAAGAGGGAAACCTATTGCCAAGGTCACTCAGAAGCCCCCTTTATGACTGCCTGGATCATTTTCATGCTGAAACCTGGTCACTTCTCGCAAATAGCGTAATGGCAGTAGGAGTGACCCCTGCTTATAATTTATTCTGGACTTACTGGAGTGTGACTCAGTGGTAGCATGTACAAGGCCCTGGGTTCAGTCCCAGCACTGAGAAAAATAATTCCCAGTTTTGAACAAGTATGGAAACCTTTTCCAGAAGGGCTTTCTTTTGATGTGCAGGTAGAAGCTTCTTGGGGCACAGGGAACAGAGCCAAGTGTGGGATTTAACTTAAACCACAGTTTCTGGGCATAACACCCCAGGAGGAGACTGCAGTACTCTTCCCTCTGGTTAATGCTCAGTAGAGACCTAGTACAGAGGTTCAGAATGGCTAGATACAGCACAGAGTTTGGGAAGAAGATCCTCACAAGGTGTGTCTATGTATTCCTCCCTCTGAAAAGTCTTGTATGGCTGTCTCTAGTGACTAAGACATCTGGTAATTTAATTCAGTTACAGTGATGTGTACTGTGTTGAGTACTAGATCCACAAAGAAAAAAAATGTGGGGCCGGAGAGATAGGTCAGAGGTTAAGAGGACTGGCTGCTCTTGCAAAGAATCCACGTTTGGTTCCCAACACCCATACACTGGCTAAGCCATCCATAATTCCAGGTCTCAGTGGGCATTGCACATCCCTGGTATACTTACATGCAGGCAAAACATTTATACATATAAAATAAAAGTAAATAAAATTAAAAAAAAAAAAGAAAGCAAAATGTGTCTCCCCTGTAGCAACTTAGAATTTAGAAAAGAGAGTCCTAATAAAGCTGTACTGATGTCTAGGAAACCTCTCTCTCTCTCTCTCTCTCTCTCTCTCTCTCTCTCTCTCTCTCTCTGTTTTCTGTCTCTCTCTCTGTTTTCTCTCTTTCTCTCT